AGGTCTGGACCGGAACCGGACCTGTTGATTCATGTCCGGTCTTCGGTCCTTAAAAATCAAGGATTCAGGTCTCGGTCCATTCAGGTCCGGGTCAGGTCCGGTCCAGTTTTGGACCGGTGTACAGCCCTACCCGCAAGTTAAAAAGCTTCCGCGGTTTGGTGGATTCACAAACTCGGATGTACCCGTCGTTGCCAGGAGCGTTCGATTGGGTAGATGGAGCGTGAACCCCCGGAGGGTTATGGCCATATGTAGAACACATATGGATTTCAGAAAAGTGAGAAAAACTCAATCAGGAAGTAGAATCGAGCCAATATTGCTAGAACTGGTCAAAACAAGAAGGCAGATTTCTGGCACGGTATTGGAAGAACATGGCGCCAGACTACAGGGACTGTCGCCGCAAAAGTGCCCCTATTTCCAGACGACAGAACTGTCGCCAGGCGACGGAAACACTTTACGGGCGACAAGCCCTGTTTTCTAACGCTAGTTCCTACATGCCTTAGCAGCTCTCTTTGTTCTTAGAATTTTCCAATTTTCACAGTATTATTTCGATTCTAGTTGTGAGAGATATTTCTCAAATTCCCTACGTGCAAAAATCCTATGTTTTTTACTCTTTTCGGATGGTCTATCCAATGAGGACTGTGTTTTATGCATATGACAATAATGTTAATCAAAATTACGCACATGAAATACTTAGAACTTTTAGAGTCTTATCCGCTCATTCTAAATCATTGCCAAAATAAATTTTAGTAATTAAAATAGAAATCCTCCCCAGTGGAGTCGCCAAAAACTGTAGGGAATATTTCAAGCATTACCCCAAACTTGAACCCCACTGTGATCATACACTTAAGTATGGTGGTGTCCAAAGGAAAGAGAGCTAGAGCAAAAGAGTCACCAACAAGTTTTAGGAACTTGTGAACCGTTCACGAGGTGAAGGTTACACCCCTTTACGATCCATGAGATCGTCAACTCCAAAAGGTCTAGAACCAAATAGGGTTCGGGGATGAGGCTACAAATCCAATCTACACAAGAAAGGACCTGCCCTATAAATAGGCCTCTACTTTATTCTACTCGTATTCATGTGCGCTTTTTGACTAACATGCAATAATTATATTAATCCTAAATCTGTTTATCTATGTTGGTTGAATATTAATGCACAAATAAATCTATTATTGGCGATCACTTGAATTAAAATCAAATTAGCCTAAACCAAATTATTAATTATCTTATTAAGCGTACTTCAAGTACAAATTCCCTTTAAACATGCATAAAAGGCGGGATCAAGCAATAACAATAATATAAATATCAAGCAACATAATAATAATCATCATAATAACATAATCACAATCATAATAAGGCATAATAAATCTTGATAACAATAGCAAGATCCTAGGTATGATACTAATAAGATTAATAACAAATCCTAGCATGTCACTAAGCAATAAAGATCAAAGCTTTAAGCCTAACATGATATTAACATGATAACATGATATTAGATATAATAAAAGGCACCCTAAACATGATTCTAGAAAGCAATAAATAACATCCTAACATGATACCAGGAATTAATAAATCTAAACATACTTTCTACATTGAAATAAAATAGGGAGTAAGATAATAACTTACTTTGAAGCCTCGTACCTCTTTCTAATAACAAAATACACGCGTTAGTAAATTTCAATGAAATAATATAATTAAACAATTAAATAAAATAATTGAAAATAAAGAGTTAAAAAGTTTAGATTGGATTTGGGACCAAACCCTCAGAAAAGTATAAACCTTTCACGTCTAGGGCGAAGGCAACTTCGAACTTGGTTAGGTATTTCTAGATCTTGTGATTGCGGTATTGTGTTTGTAAAAGGCTAGCTAGAAAGAGAGAGAGAAAGAAAGCTATATTGCTGGAGAGAGAAGAGAGAGATTAGGTGATTGTGAATTGTAGATGAATAAAAACGGAGGTTCAGGACCCTATTTATAGGAAAACAGTCGGGAAATCGATAGAAAATAGTCAAAATTTGAAAAGGAATAAAACTCCACGCCTTCGCCAGAAAACTACCTTGTCGCCAAACGACAAGGCTGTCGCTAGGCGACAAGCTTGCCGTTTTGCGATAGAGACGGTTTTTTGCGGATTTTTTTTTATCATATCTTTTGATCCAGAAGTCCAAATAAGTCATATAATATGTCTTTAGAAAAACCTTGAAGTCTACTTTCTAACCCAATTAAAATCAGAATAAAATCTTTTATAGATAAAAAGATATTGCCGAAATAGTGGAAGGGTGTCAGTTTTGGATAGAGTTTTGTATTTCTTTCATATCTTTTTCGTTATAGCTCAGAATTGATATTATAATATATCATTGGAAAGATAATTTCAAGATCTATCCAAACATATAAACTATAAGGAACGAAAATAATATCTGACTGTCTTTGAACATCGTTAAAATCCGAATAGAATTAGGACTCTAAAATAGGAATGTTTTATTCAAATTCAAACTCTTTGATCTTATCTTTTTAAAAAAGGATAATTAAGACCTTTTAGAATCTTATAGAAGATTCTAATAAATTCTAATTAGTTTAGGAATAAGATTAAACCCTTGGAACCTCAACATGATTATTGGGTCGTAAGTAAAATCCGATTTGGGCCCAGTTTAGTATTTTGGCCATAACTTTCTCATTATTCATCGGAATTGCGCTTATAACATATCGTTGGAAAGGTCTTTTCAAGACCCATTCAACTAAACTATTATTGGACCCTTATCATGGACCAAACTAAACTGGACTTGACGTTTTCATAAAATAGAGCAGGTTTTTGAAAACAGAAAGAATGATTTTTAATAAAAACTACCGCATCACTAGACTTTTCACGCTTTCACTTCATTCGATTATCATTCAACGTGAAAGGGTATTCATCACTGGGTTTAGTTTTGGGGAGACACAAATGGGTGTCTACAAACTTGTTGGCGACTCTTTTGCTCTAGCTAGTTTTCTTTCCTTTGGGCGCCACCATACTTAAGTGTATGATCACAGTGGGGTTCAAGTTTGGGGTAATGCTTGAAATATTCCCTACACCAATTTATTCACGATCAACTTCTTAGAACGTACACTTAAAGTTTTTCTTGGATGGGTTATTCTCCACAATGATGTTTATCTAATTAACTGTTAAATTATGGGCGAAATAATTCTCTCATTGTATTTTTCCATTCATAATATTTGGCGATATTACAATATATATAAACAATAGGTATATCTGATCTAACCCTAAAATTCCTAAATATCTCAATATCCTAAATCTATCCACAATATCTCACGTATATCTTTTTACAATAATAATATCTCATTCTCATATGATATTATTCTCATAATACCATATCACAATATATGTTCCTATCTCAATACCCTTCCTCAAGTCAGATGTAGATATCGAATGTCCGATTCGGACAATAAAATAAAATCTGCATCATGTCATCATCAAGTTGCAATATGTAATCATCAAATGATCCATTGAAAATCACAAAAATCTTTTAAGCTTGATTATCATGCCACGTTATTCCTCTTCAAAATCATCAAAATTAATTTGTGAACTCTCACAATAATTCTCACAATCTCATACACAAAAGCTGTGAACTCTCATGCACAAATCTCACAAGTCAATTTGACTCACGTTGTTTTAAAAAAAAAGTTAATTAGTATTGTGAACTCTCACAATAACTCTGTATCGGATGCAAATAATGAATAATGCGTTCAATTGATTACTCCTCTTTCAAGAACTCTCATGTTTTTGATGAGAACGTCATTCTTTTCTAACTCATTAATTAATCAGAAGTCAAACAGGAACATTACAATGAGAACACTTTTCTTTTCGAACCCGTCATATTTTTTTCTCTTCTCCTTTTACACGATCTCCCGTATTTAAGGTTTTTCTTCATTTTCTCACACGAACTCTCGTGATTCTCATCCTCTCCTCTCACACGAAATCTCATGATTAAGGTTTTTTTTCATTCTTTAATTTCCTTTCACACGAACTCTCGTGTTTAAAGTTTTTCTCATCCCTGATCTCCCTAGACTTTTGATACCATGTTAAATTATGGGGAAAAAAATCTCTCATTGTATTTTTCATTCATAATATTCGACGATATTACAATATATATAGATAATAGGAATATCTAACCCTGATATTCCTAAACATCTTAACTTCCTAAATCTATTCACAATATCTCACTTATATCTTTTTAAAATAATATCTCATATGATATTATTCTCATAATATCAACGGTAACAGTCACTATTCCGAACCTAATCCAAATTTTGTCAATCCAAAGACAAAATTTGATTTATTGCATAGATTTAGATTATCTTATTTTTATGCAATCTAACTGAATTTGAATCAATCCAGCATCACCTATTGCAGGCAGCACAAATATAATATATTCATGCTCGTGAATGTTAAATTAAAGTAAAAGGTCTCAAAGGGGATCTAGGTTACCTTTTCCTTTTTATATAAGAGAAGAAGTTAAGTAAATTTACTTCAAGATTCATTATCCAACCAATTTCAATATCTAGAGACAAAAATTCTAAGGTATATTTGATAAGTGAAATTCTCCCTAGAATTTCCTCCGCTATTTTTTTGTATCTCTCTCTCAATTTTCCAAATATGATTGAAGATATAAAGGCTAAAGTAACCTTCAAGAAACTTAAGGAAACCTAGCTAAAAATGAACATGCGAAAAATTATTATACACATTCACAAGACAAAAAATATGGCATTAATTATTAACAACTGCTAAAATATTTATGAGAATATGATAAATTGAATAAACTCAATCATTTGAATTACAAAGATGATGGCCATGGCCAATAAATAATACATCGTTCCCTAACCCGATAGAATTAGGAAATAATCAAAGATATCAAAAAGATATTATGCTAGGCATAAAATATATACTAAGCATAAAATATGGAAACTAAATATATCCTAATAATTTCCCAAAATATATCCTCCAATACCCCCCCTCAATTTGGAGCATGGGGATTGTAAATGCCTAACTTGGAAAGAAGATGATCAAACTGAGACTTCCCAAGCGCCTTAGTGAAAATATCTGCAAGTTGCTCCTTAGTGGAAACATAGGAAGGAGCAATTAAGCCCTCTATAATAGCATCACGAACAATGTGACAATCAATCTCAAATTAAAGTGTTTTGTACGTTCATGAAAAACTGGATTTCGAGATATATGTAAAGCAGATTGATTATCACAAAACAACTTGATCGCCTTAGGGAGTTGGACACCCAAACTCAAAAGAAATGCCTTCAACCATTTCAACTCATGTGTGGTTGAAGCCATGCATCGATACTCAGCCTTAAAAGAAGAGAAAGATATCGTGGGTTGCTTCTTGGTTTTCCACGAAATAGGTGATTTACCAAGAAAAACGAGCCAACCAGTCAACGAACAACGAGTAAGAGGACACGCCGCCCAATCAGAATCACACCAACCCTGCAAAGTCAGGTCACTATCTCCACTCAACAAAATACCCTGTCCCGGAGTACCCTTTAAATAACGAACCACCCTGAGAGCTGCTTCCCAATGCTCAATCCGAGGTTTGTGCATAGACTGAGAAAGAATATGAACCGAATATGCCAAATCTGGTCTAGTCACCGGGAGATAAATCAACCGCCCTACTAGTCTACGATAAGACTCAGGATCCTCAAGTAACTCACCACTAGCAAGACTAAGCTTGTGGTTTTGCTCAATCTGAAAACCACTTGGTTTCGCACCCAATAGCCCTGCTTCAGAAACAATATCCAAGGTGTACTTTCGTTGACACAAAAACAAACCTGATTTACTACGAGCAACTTCAATGCCCAAAAAATATTTCAAAGGACCAAGGTCCTTCATCTTGAAACAGTCACCAAGATAAGCTTTGAACACAGTTAATGTAGCAGAATCATTCCCACAAATAATAAGATCATTGTAGGGAATAATTTCAAGCGTTAAACCCTTAGCTTGAACCCCACTATGATCATACACTAAAGTACGGTGGCGTCCAAAAGGGAAGAAGATAGAGCAAAAGAGTCGCCAACAAGTTTTAGGAACTTGTAAACCGTTCATAGGATGAAGATTACACCCCTTAACGATCCAAGAGATCGTCAACTCCATAAAGTCTAGAACCAAATAAGGGTTCGGGAATGAAGGTACAAATCCAACCTAAAAGAGATTGAACCTGCCCTAATTATAGGCCTCTACTTTATTCTGATCATATCCATGTGCGCTTTCTGACTAACATGCAATCAACAGGTTTAACCCTAAACCTGTTTATCTATGTTGGTTGAATATAATGCACAAGTAAACTATTATTGGCAATCACTTGAATTTATAATCAAATTAACCCTAACAAGATTATTAATTATCTTATTAAGCGTGATTACAAGTACAAATTCCCTTTAAACATACAATAAAGGTGTGATCAAGCAATAAAAATAAATATCAATCAACATAATAATAATAATAATAATAATAATAATAATAATCATCATCATCATTATGATAGTCATAATAATAATCATAAATAAAATAATCATCATAAAAATAATAATAATAATAATAATAATAATAATAATAATAATATTCATAATCATCATAAATTATAACAATTATAATCACTATCATGTTCATGTTAATATTAAAGCATAATAAAAATAGCAAGATCCTAGGCATGATACTAACAAGATTAATAACAAACCCTAGCATGTCACTAAGCAATAAAAATCAAAGCTTTAACCCTAACATGATACCAACATGAATAAATATTAGGAAGAACATAGGAAGCATCGCAGGAATCATAATAAGCATATTTGATATTAAAGTTACCCTAAACATGATACTAGGAATATCATAATAACAATATAAACATGATTTCTACATCATAATATCAATAAAGACCATTAAAGTACTTACTTTGATGCCTCGTACCTCTTTCTAATAACAAAATACACACGTTAGTAAATTCAAGGAAAACAATAATCAAACATTTAAATTAAATAATTGAAAGAGAGATTTGGGACCAAACCCTCAGAAATTAAAACCTTTCACGTCTAGGGCGAAGGCAACTTCGAATATGGCTAGGTGTTTCTAGATCTAATGAATGCGGAATTTTGTATGTGAAAGCAAAGTTTAGAGAAAGAAAGAAAGATGAATGATTAAGAGAATGAAGAATGAGAGAATTTAATGATTGCGAATGCTAATTAAAACTGATTGTTGGTGAATATAGATGAATGTTGATGTGAATTGGTGAATGAAAACGGAGTTTTTAATATGTTATTTATAGAGAAAATCAGCCAAAAAGATAAAATAAACAAAACAGAGTCTGACGCACAAAAAACAGAGCTGGCGCAAACCTTGGCTAACTAGCGCCAGGCACCCATACTAGCGCCAGGCGCCAATGCCTGGAGTCAGGCGCCAAGCCTGTTTTTTAACGCGTTTTCGAAAATCAGATAAGTTTGCCGTACTGGAGGATAAAATCATATAATTTCCTCGAAAATGCTATTTGATTTTAATTAAAACTCTGAAAAGTCAACAAAAGTCAATTTATCAATGCTAATTGAATTAGGAATGAAAAAAACCTTCTAGAAGAATCTAGAAGACTAAAACCATTCCTAATTGCATTAGGAATGATAAATCATATTAGGCCCTCCTCTAGATCATTGGGCCGCATATAAGGCTCAAACCGGGTCCAGTTTAGTAAATTGGCCATAACTTCCTCAATATTCATCGGAATTGGGCTTATAATATATCGTTGGAAAGCTCTTGTCAAGCCCCATCCAAATACACTACTATTGGACCCATATCATGGACCAACCAAACTGGATTGGCTGTTTTCTTAAAATAATTTTTCAAAAACAGAGAGAAGAGAAAAGAAATTAAAAACTATCTGCAACACTAGACTTTCCACACTTTCACTTCATTCGATTATGATCCGACGTGAAAGGTACTCATCACCGGGTTTGATTTTGGGGATACATAAATGGGTGTCTACAGAAGCCCCCACTTTGACTGAGTTTGGAGAAACGCAAGTTTCGAAAACAAAAGTCAAAGTGTCGATAGGGACAGAGAATGATTCAGAACAATCTGCGATCCTAAACCACTCTTGTAACGCCGATACCTGCAAACTAGCGTTAGTCAAACAGATAAAAGTGTTAAGAAACGCGTATCTTGCACCGTTGAGCACACGTCTCTGAAAGTAACCGATTGTTTTGATGACCTCCTACAAGCTAGAGAATGCCATCCTGCTTGAAAACTGCTACGCCCGTAACTGCTTCCAAATTAGAAGACTGCTTCTCCTGAAATGATCCTCCTCCACTATGACAATATTCCACGTCCAAGGGAATATCATCGAAGATTATTTCTCTTGAAATCACCTTCAGCTGTTTGTGACAAATCTCCGCAAGCTAGGGAATGCCGTCGAAGATATCCTCGCTTGAAGTCATCCTCATTTGATGCAATAATTTTCCAAAGGAAATTACCGAACACCCACGCTTGTCGATCTTTAAAAGTTTACCTGTACTTTGCTTCCGCTATGCCTGTACGTCGGCGCTTCTGTTACTTTGAACCTGTACGTCGGTGCTTTTTTTTGCGAATGAACCTGTATGTCGGTGCTTTTTTTTGTTAATGAGCCAATGCTTAGGCGCTTTAAGCTAAGTGAGACGATCTTCTATCCGGTCGATCACTTTACGTAATCAAGCCGATTACTAAATCATGTCAAATTGCTTAGAGGGGCTAACTGGCGTACCAAGGAACCCAAAAATATGTTGCAGAAAGGTAGAACAACCTCACCAAGTGGTTGGGCGTTCTGGCGCCACTGAAAAGCCATCAGGGCCACACAATTAGCCTTAGCGTCAGGCGCTGGGATTGGCGCCAGGTGCCAAGCCTAATTTTTGACGCCAACGCTTAGGGCTTGGCGCCAGCACGGGGATTTCCTTAAATACCCCTTTCCTCTTCATTTTGCTGCTTGCTCGTCGCGAAACTGCTCGAAAAACCGCAGAACTTCAATTGCTTGGTTCTTTCTTGTTTCTTAACCGAATTCACTCAAATTTGTTGCAAACTAAAGCTCTTTTCATCTGTTTTCTTGATCTATGTGAGTTTTCTTCAAAATCACATTAGTTTTTATGAATTTTTGGCATGTTTATTCATGAATTTCATGTAAATTCGAAAATAAAAATGCTCAATTCGCTTTGTTTAACAAATTTTATGCCATGAAATTGCTTGATTATGTTTATATATTGCCTTGGGAGTAATTTGAGACTTGTTTGACTCAATTTGGTGAAGAAATGAGCAATTTGCCATTGTTGGACCTCCTAAGGTAGTGAAGAACAAATGTGACTTGTTCTCAATGTTTTTGCTAGCAATTCTTGTCCAATTTGTCACAATAATTACTATAGTGTTGCAAGAAATTGTGTGATTGCTTGAAAAATGCCGTTATGCTCAATTTGAATTTGTGCTCTGTTTTAGTACTACGTACTCTGTTTTTTGCAAACATAGTATCATGCGGCTAGGCGAACCTTTGATACTATAGAACCTTAATTTATGATGATTTTGCACAATGTAGTATGGCTAGACAGCGAGGTTCGGGTTCACGGTCCCGAAACACCCGACGGGAGCATGAGCCCGTAGAGGATGACGTCACACCTTCCACTTCGCTTGGTCGGCTCCCTGAGTGGGATGAGCGGACCCTGTTCTTTGCCCTCGTCCACCAAATTTCTGAGAGAGTAAGACGGGGCATCACGGTCGGGAGGACGCGCTATCACAGTTTCGGCTGTGATGGTTTGGCTGATTTGTACAAGATGTACATCATCGGGGATCTTGAGACGAGACTCCTATGGGAGTCTTGCGGACTAGCTACCCTGTTCGAGACCTCCGAGGCTATGGTTGCCTCTTGTGGTGGTCACCATATAGTGCGTGCTTTGGTGGAGTTCTTCTGGGACACCACCAACACTTTCCAGTTCCCCTGGGGCGAGATAATGGTCACCCCTATGGACTTCAGTCTCATTACAGGACTGGAGTTCAATTCTATGCCACTACCGTTCGACAGCGGAATCGACGTCTTTTCTGCGGAGGTCGAGGAGCTGTTGGGGCCGATCGCTATTCGGGCCCAAGCTGAGGTCGAGACGACTCAGTTTAGTGCTAGGGGAATTCGCCGCTCGACGCTGGCAGCGGCTTTTAATGACGATGCGACCACCCGAGAGCAGCGGGTGCGCATCTTTGCGCTGATGTTGTTGTCAGGGACGTTCTCCCCTGACAAAGGTAGTAGGGTGCTGCTTTACTACCTTCCTGCTGTCCGCGATCTTCACCGGATCGGGACTTATGATTGGGCCAGCTTGGCCTACGCTGAATTTGTTCGTGCACTGAGGGACTCGTGTCGACACCGGTCCTTTGGGACAAATGTTGCTTTGTCTGCCTTTTGGAAGGTCGTAGAGGTAAACATTATTCCCTATAAAGTTTAGCTCTCCATTTTAGCTAGCATTTACTTACAATTTTAATTCCTTGTAGATCTTGTTCTACGAGCACTTCCCTTCTGCTGCGCCGGCGAGACCATCGCCGCGCGGATTTCCAGTGAGCACTTCTTGGGGCAGCCGCCATGTGGATATGTCTACTACACATGTCCGGAACTAGATCATCGCAGTACGAATTTTTATTATTTATTTGCTTTTTCACGATGCTTTAGGTACACTCTCGCCTGATTGATGTTCTTTGTAGGGGTCTGAGGTGGTGTACCGGCCATGAGGCAGCTGGACAGTCCTTGGGTTAGCCGCACAGTATTCTGCTGAGCGTCGCTATTTCCTGGGGACTTATGGAGCGATCGCGTACTTAGGAGAGAGGGTTGCTAGACAGCATTCCTCTGA